TATGCACAATCAGCTTGTAACACTCCAAAGAGAAAGGAAAACTTGAAATCGCATCATATGACCCCTTTAATACAATCAGTTAAACGGTTTAAAAAGTAATTTATCAAAATATTTAAAAAGGTTTGCTGCATGGTTAAAATGCGCTACGCATATAAAAAAAATATTTTTTTAGGGGGAATAAACATAAGTCGCGTATAGTCGCATTTTATTGTTTCATTCAGAAATAGGCCTAATGCCGACACGAAATGTTTACAAACTGCTGTGGTAACACTTAACGGCACAGATTTCACTACATTTTTTTTTAATACATAGTTTTTTTTCCATATGTTTGACTGACTGTATTATGAAACTCTGCATATAGGCTACTTGTTGCACAGTTTTTCTTTAATTTTCTTATTTTATTAGTAAAAAGAAGTAAAAATATGTTTCGGAAAAATAACCGAAATGAACATCCCTAATTTGAAGCGAAATCAAGGAACAAGCTGGTGTGACGTCATTTCAAACAAAATAAGACCAAAACAAAATTTGTTTGCCATTTTCTTCGGGAGTTTGAAACCAGTAGCCAAAGCAAACTTTACGGAAAAGTTCGCGCCGGCTGGTAAACTACAATTGGTCTGTGGCATTGTCATTCTAATTGAAAGCATTGATACATTTGCTAAAAGTAAACTGCTGCTCAGGTAGTGCTGCGATTAAGACCTTCGCTGTGAGTATACTGGGGCCTTTTGGGTTCCTTTACATAAGGTACATTAATCCTCTTCATCCGAAAAGTCAGTTTTTGTCAGACAGATTATGTCACCATCCATGATGGACTTAGCTCCTCCGACGTCTGATTTTCCGTGCAACAAGAGCTGGAAAAATCTGTTGCTTTGGCTAGGAGAGGCTCCCTTTCACCTGATTTCAGTGGAAATGAGCAACTCCTAATAGGTCTGAGGGATGACCCTGCGGAGGGGGGGGTGGTGGTGGTCTCTGCTTAAGTGTAACCTCATGACTGGGGTCTCGTTCAAAAGGAGACAGGGAGTGGGAAAAAAGATAATCACATTAGAAGAGGCTGAAGGCATTATACAACACTCACTGTTACATAATGCCATCTCTGAGCTGAGAATAGTGCGGTGTCTTATAATACAATACATGGAATAAAGCGTGGGCTCCTGTTCTAGCCTGACCACCGAACGACGAGCATCGAGATAGAAATGGACGTTCCCATTTGAGCCGTTCAAACATTAGGACTCACAAGCAACGTGATTTCTGATGTCTGCAGGGGTCTATCACGCTTCTTCAAAGCTGAAGAGTGTCCTTCAGCCCTCAAATGAAAGCTGACAGCTGCCATTGGCTAAGCCACACTGGATGGCCATGAGCGTGGGCTGAATTGCGAATGTTATATAACATGCTCTTAAAGAGCGCGACATGCTAACAGCAGGGCAGAGCAATTATCAACAAATTCGTGCCGCATGTAGAGCTGTTAGGAGCGATAAAGGACAAGCACAAGCTCGGTTTTTGCTCTCTGAAAATTGTCTTGCCGCATAACCGATTTGAGGCTCATGTTTCAGGAGCTACTGTGGACTTGCTGCTGGCCAAAGCCACAAAAGCTGAAGAAGGCATACTAATTGATTCTTGACAAAATAAAGAGAGAAAACAAAATATCTGTATGCCTTGGTCAGCCAAAACGAATTTTTCAATGGCCAATACCAATATCAGTCAAAACTGACTCAGGGCTATTTGTAGATTCTGGAACCGATGAATGTAAGAAAAGCCAGTTGTATTCACTGGTCAAACTGCTCATTTATTGGCTGATATGACACTCCCAAAATTTACTCAACAACAAAAACATGCTGCAACTCAAAACTAACTCCCCAGTTTAAAGTATGAATTATTCCTTTCTACCCTTATGAAATGCCTGGATTTGAAATCTGGACAATCGTGACTTCACAATTCTTCTCGACACACTCCTTAATAGGGCTGTGCGATATTGAAGAAAAATGCGATATGCGATACCTTGTTAAAAAATGCGATATTCGATATGCGATACGATATTGCTTAAAGTGTGTAAAATCAGTTTCAATTATATTTTAAAATATTTTTAAAATTAAAATTATATAACCAATTTGTTTCACATTCTTTCTTGGAAAAGAAAGAATCACTACAACTTCTGAAAGTGACCAGCAGTTTTAGCAGTACATAAAAAGTAATGTCACAAATCAGAGAATGTAATTTTAACATCAGTGTGAACATACAAACAAAAAAAGTAATGACACTAATTTTATATCATTGTAACTTTGCTTTCTATACACTTTAAGTACTTCTTCATATACCACAGCAAAAACTATAGTCTGAGAAAGTTCAAACATGATTAAACGCAAGTGAACATTCAGTAAAAAAAAAGAAAGAAAAAGAAATACACAATTTACAAGCATAGATAAAATAAACAGTAGTATTCAGGTACAGAAATTTAACAATTAAGTGTAAAATAACACTGCATAGTGTTCACTGTATGAATTAAATTTAGATTAATCTTTGTTATAGCCGTTTTGTTGTTTGATTAACATTAGTGACATATTCAGCAGCACGTATTTATAGGCTGCGGTCCCTTTAAATCCGACTGCACGGATCCAGTATAATGATACACATCCGATTTCTTTCTCAGCTGTTTACA